GTCGGCGAATAAAAGATCACTGCATACTCCCAATCTTTCTGTGCGTTTTCACTGGTCAAAAGGGCAGTCACGTATATATAAATTTGGTGGGACGAACACTTACATCTACTGAGCTAGCCGCACGACATTCGTAGCGAGCAGAGAACAGAGAAAATCAGTTCGTTACAAGAGAACGATTGTTGCGCCGCTCCAGAAGAAGGCAAAAATGGTATGAGATGGTTAACATAATTACTTGCGGAGCCAGTCTCCCAGATGCGCGGAAGCACAGCTCCACATAGTTCCACTCTAAAAATTGTTAACGGCTTTGTGGGTGTATTTATATTTTGGACCCGAATATAGGCGCAGGTAGCATATGCCGTAGAGGATCCATAACAAAACTCCAAGGATGTGATGCTGATGGGTAGATACTGTAGCCATCTGGATATTCTCCGTGATTCAATTTTATGTAAATTGGTGCAGTATTCTTTCCACTTGTCCTGAACTACCGGCGGTACCCTTGCATCCCAAGCTTATCCTGTTAGAGTGCCATCAGCCTGTTGGATACGAATGCTCCAGACTTCTTTGAGAATAGCCTTGGCGATGATTATGATTAGAGCCACGAAACCTAACGGATCATAAAGACGTGCAACTGTAGAAAGAATGGATCGTTTAGTGAAAATTTCGTCAATTGTAAATTTATTTTAAAGCTATAAAAGTCTTCCTTAGGGTGCCAATATAGCCCAAAAGTTTTGATGGACTCTTGGCTTTCGATTTCCAAAATTGTGGAATTGGATATGTGCTCAGGAGGAATAGATTTCAAAAGACTGGGATGATTTGCTGCTCATTTCCAAAGGTCCATAGCCAGCTGATTGCAGTGCACCGATGACATCATCTCAAACTTAAAGGGCTCCATTAATTGTCTTATGTCCACTTTGTAAATCATCCACAGAGATTTCTTTTCGTAAAACATGTTCTGTTAATGGAAATTGATTGATCCATTAATTGTCTCATGACACTTTGTAAATCACCCACATAGATTTCTTTTCGTAAAACATGTTCTGCTAATGGAAATTGATCTCGTTCATCCTGATGAGTTCTGATGCATGATGCGAATGGCTGTTTACGGGACTGATGTTGTCCCATTGTTTTTTCGTTGCCAAACAATCCGTTGAAAGTGTGTATCCTCCGGATATTGAAAAAGTCGACCGTTGAGAATGACCCCACCAAGGTCGTTTTGTAAGGCTGGGAATGTCGTTGAGCGATTTTCCATTTGATGTCGAAGTTTTGTGGTGCTGCTGTCCTCCTTTAGAACTGCATGATGTGGTAAGGCACATGCAGTATAACTGATTGTGCCTACTTTATTTGATTGAAAAGGGCTCGGACCACAGCTGACTGACCTGTGGCACTATTATAAGACAAACCAGTTCAGTTGAGAGAATCATCGTGTGAGGTGTTGAACGTGAGGTTGGCGCGCTGATGAGCTGTGTGGTGTTGCTAGATGCTGTCAGACTTTGTGAATTGAGACTAGCCTTTCCCTGAGTTGGGAAATGTAATAGAATATAATGGCATTGTCCACATTGTAAACAGTTTTTGCTGCTGTTACATTTTGAAAGAGAATGGGTAGGGCTAAGGCAATTGAGACATACCTTAGTGCGGTCATCAGTTTGCCAACGAATGAATCCTTTGCTAAAAAGTCAGGACAACGACGTAAGATGGGCTGGTCATTGCAATGAGCGCAGCGAACAGAGTATGGAAACTACTGATCCATTTTGTTGGAAGCCGTTGACTCCTTGTGTTTGCCGTGATGATTGTGGAATATTGCGACCTTCAATTATATCGATGCTGATAAGTCGGGTGTTGAGGAATGATTCCATCGTGGAAAAGGTTGGGATTTCGTTTGTACTTCCAAGACTGTGTTCCCAGGCTTGGATGGTTTGCGATGACAGCTTAGTGGTGAGATGATGCACAATCCAATGATCGCAACAATGAGATCCCACGCGAAGAGATAATTCGCTTCAGTCAAAACCATTTAATGCACGTCTTGATCTTGGTACGCTGGGAATGCTTGCTTGTATGCTGGAAAGCGCTCCATTATCGTGAGTAAGTTGTTGGAAGACATCACGAAAGGCAGACCATTCTGTTAGCTTGCCAGAATATCTAGGTACTGGTAATTTTGTTAGTTGAACTGCAGAGCCAGGCTGTTGGAAACCGGGTATCGAAGGCGTCACCAATCTCGCAATAAGTTGTTAAGTAAGACTCGTCAAACCTTGCTTCTAGGTGGGGATAAAATTTTCATGCTTGGGTGAACAACCGGTCAATAAAACACTTTCATGATTGGTGTAAAATTCATTTGATAATTTTTCAAGTTTAATTTGAACGATTTTAAAAATAGATTTTCGTTTTTCTTGATTGGATATCTTCTTTAAAGTTTTGATAAAGTTGTTTTACAGGCTCAAAAATATCTACTTGAAGTATATTAGGTTTTTCTGGAAACGCTGGATGCCTACCCGTGCTCATTGTCTATCTCCGCTGGAGTGTTTCTGCTTTGATTGTTTAACTCTATTAGACTGAGAAATTTACTCAATACTTTGTCGACACACAAACACACCAGAACGAATCTTACCCCTTTCAAATTGTGACGTAGCGAAATTGAGCGAAAAGGCCTGGAAGTCCCGGTGCAGTTGATCCAGGTTTGACGAAAGGGTATGAAGGAATGCGAGGTAATAGATTTTGGCAGCGAAACAGCTTCCCTTCTCTTCTCTATCGGTTTCGGTCCAGCCTCTTGTCGTGGTCCCACGCTGATTTCGTCAAAGTGATTAAGCCTCAGTGCTGTGTTTCTCGTCAGAAGAAGGAGGGAAAAGCGTGTGGAATAATAATGTAACGGCTCCTTCTAATTAAATTTTTCACTTTACAATGCTCAATGCTGACAATAGTATACTTTAAGGTTATATTTGTAAAATATTAAAACGCGACCAGCTGCTGCGATAACTTCATCTGCTCGTTGCCCAGAAAAGAATGAAAACGAGCCGATGATCTTTCTCTTTCGGTCAGAATGTTCTCTTAACATGTAGCTCGAACGTCCGAGCACGAGAGTAAACCTGCCACTGAAAGAGCTTAAGTCGAAAAAAAAAACAAGGAAAGTGCTCAGAAACAGATAATTTAAGAGTATTTAGAGAATACTTGTTAAATTGTATGTTTGAAATGGAAAATGAAATTGAGGGTATCGAATCGAAGTTTCAGCTAAATTAAAATGTCTTCATTGTACAAAAACAATTCCCAATAACTTTGAAAAATGGCAAATCCATTCACAAAAGCAAAGGGCTAACAGTCACCACTGTATTTGAAGATATTGGAGACAGTGTTTTTGCAAATGGACAAACTAATGTTGCGTTATTTCGGTAAAAAAGTCTTTCTGGCTGACACATTAATAAAACAAATGAAATAGTGAAGAAGTGTGATGGAAGCAAGAAGAAGTCCCAGGCAGTGAGGGAGCTGGAAGAGATCACCAGCCAGGAAGACATCGCCCTGTGTGCGGGACTACTCGACTGCCTGGCTCCGGCTTAGGAGCCGGTCTGTGTCAGCATCGATGTGAAGAGGTGTCCAGTGCAGACCACTGGCTTCCAGGACATCAGCGAGGCGGAGCTGAGGCGGTGTGATAGATCGATTAAGAGTTCTGTGATCACAAACAGACCTTGCTCACCAATCGGCAGTGCCAGGGCAGCTAATTCTAAGGCCTTGATGGACACTTGCGACTAGCCAGCAGTCAGACGATAAAGGTTTCGCTGCCGCAGTCGGTGGAGACCAAGCCGTCGACACCTCTTCTGGGTCGCAGGTCCAAGATTCCCATACACAATCCCTGTTGTATATCGGCCTCTGGAACTGATTCCATCAGCAGAGCGGGCTATGCCCCGACCGCAAACCCATCTCCCTCGGAGAGTGTAGAGCACTCGCAGAATGTCCTTTTCTTACAGGAATATTACCATCTTTTGTACATGAACATGTGGTAACTTTGAAATGCTCCAACTAAAACCATAGACCCTTGAGTCAGAGTCAGTCATAGAGAAAATTTATCAGTTTATCAAGTGCAATATTTCACCATGGTCAGTGATTTAATGGGGAACAATATAAATTCATTTTACGAAAAGAGAAAATATTTTAATATATAACTTAATCTTCTAGACCGCGTAACAGCAAAGATCTGAATATAATTTTCTTTGGAGAAAAGTAATTTTTTAATTTTACGGGTAATAGAAAACAAATAAGTTTGAAAAAAATTTTTTTAAGAAGGAGAAAAATACTTGGTTGGCGAAAATACTGAACCCTCCTCGAGGGTACCGACTGGTAATGACGCTACAGTGCCTGTGCGATGTCAGGTGGCGTTTAGCTTAGATCAAGAGTAGGAACTGTGTGCTCAGGGATGAGTCATCATCGTGCAATTGAGGCACCATTTTTATTGTAACTAGGTTTTTGAGCTTTTCAGTATTTTGACTGAAGTTTCAAACAAAATCTTCTGATATCAAATTTGTTAAAAATTTTTAATGGGTAATTGGTTTCACAAATGCGCAAATCTCTAAACATTTCTAAGCAGCCACTTGGGCCTAACAAATGGAGCGATTGCAGAATGTCTTTAAAGACAAGTGCAATCGGGGTAGCTGCTATCTTCCCTATCGCTCTGAAGAATGTTTTTCCACGTTAGGGATAAACAAGACACTCCGCTGGTCTAGGTGACATAGTAACTCAGCAAATTAAGACGTATTTTTATTTTGAACGCTTTTTAATTTTTGATCCTTCGAGGGACTCTTCAGTTTTCCCCCACCATTGGTAAAAGACTCAGAGTAGAGCTTTTTTTCTACTATTAAGAAAAGCTTTAATATATACAGGAGCAATACAGATGGTAGAGAGGAAGAGGTGAAAAGTTCCGTTCCCGTTGGACCACCGCAAAGCTTTACTTCGCGGGACGGATGGCAGTCAGGTCTGTTCTCGACGTCTTAAGTCCTTCAGGATGCCAGCAGCCATATTGGTTATGGCATCCCAATTCCTCTGGTTTCCAGCATGCAGTTAATCACGTTATCCACTGTCAGGAAACGCTCGGCTCTTGATTCAGCTTCGGCTCGGTTCCTCGCGTATAGGGGGCAGATGAAGAATGCGCGCTCCGCGTCTTCGAAGCTTGCTGTGCTGCAGTGGTCGCAGCAGGGGTTTTTCTCGTGCTTAAGCATGTACAGGTACTCTTTAAAGTATCCGTGCCCAGTGATCATCTGCGTGAGGTAGAAGTTTACCTGCCCGTGCCCTGCAGCCAAGGGATTAGACTGGGTATTAACCTGTGCGCCCACTGTCCTGTGTTCGCACCACCTCCTTAGCCAAGCCTCTATCGTGCTACTGCGCTGGGTCCTGCTTCATGTACTCCCTGTCCTTCGTTATGCCGCCAGGAGGTCTATTGGTATTGGTACCAGCTATTACTGGTGCGGCTTCCTCTAATACCGTGAAGAAGCTGCTTGTGATGCGCAGTGCGACTGTATGTTGCGGTCTTCAAAACTTCGGCCCATATGGGCGCGGCGTACAGGATGGTCGAGGTCGCCACTGTGGCTATGATCCTTCTGCTGGGCTGCTTTGGTTCTCGGGTGTTGGCCATCTTGAGATCGGTGCAGTCGATCTGGATGCTTTGGCTGCAGCTTACGCTAGGTGGGTCTTGAACGATAGCCTGTGATCGATCAGTACCTCAAGGTACTTGATTGAGTCGCTTGCTACTATTGAAGTTGAGCCGACTCGAATTGTTGCCTTCTCAACAATCTTCCTGCTGCTTATGAGCACTGCTTCCGTTTTGTGCTCGGCAAGCGATAGACCGTTGTCTGCGAGCCAGCTCATAAAGGTGTCTATCTAGAGGCTGCACTTTACCGTGGCCTCTTCGAGGGTTTTCGCTACTGTTACCAGCGCTTTGTCGTCCACAAAGCCCACAACGGTGCATCCTTCGGGTAGTGCCTGCCTTCGGATCCGGTCGATCAGGGCGTTCCCAGTACTGAGCCTTGAGGTACTCCACCTGTCACCTGGTACTCATGCTCTCCGACGACAAAAGAGTATGTGAGCACTCTGTCCTTAAAGTATTCCGCTTCGAGGTCGGTATGATAGTCCGAGATTCCCATGAGATGAAGCGCTTGCAGGGCAAGGTTCCAGTTGGCAGAGTTAAAGGCATTCTTAATATCCAGTGTCCAGACGAGGCAGTACTCTTTAGAGCTGCCTAGCCACCTTTCTCCTTCAATTGCGTTAGTAGCCAGTTGGGTGACCGCTCGGATTGGGTCAATGGTGCTTCTTTCCTTTCGGAAACCAAACTGGTGGTCCGAGAACGCTCTGAGTTCGTCGAGTTCTTTTTTGAGATGGATGCAGATTATGCGCTCAAATATCTTTCTCATCGTATTTAGCATACATAGGGGTCTGTACGAGGATGCGTCGTCGTTCATCTTGCCCGACTTTGGGATGAGCACTAATCTTTGTCGCTTCCATCCTGTGGGGAAGGTTCGTTGGGTGAGACACTTTTTGCACATCTCCGTGAATATACCCGGGTATGCTGCCACCATTGTGTGCAGCGCAGCATTGGGAATGCCATCGGGACCAGTGGCGTTTCCAGCCTTGGTTTTTCTAAATCCTGCCAGTACTTGGGCTTCGCTGGTGAGAACTGTTTCGCCTACCCCGGTAGCTTGCCAAGTTCGGGGCGGCTGTTTGGGGAACAAAGTAAAAACTATTTGGGCAAACTGCAAGTGGTCAGTAGGGGTCGGCTGTTGTTGAGCTTACCCATGACCATCCTGCATGCTGACCCGAATGGTTCTGCATCCACAGCTTCGCACAGCTTGCCACATCAGCCTACCGTTCGGTGGCCGTCTCGGTTAGTAGGTCCTGCGCCGCTCTGCAGTGACAGACAGCTGGCCTATTCCCATGCATTTGTAGCATCGCCTGGGCTCCATTTTCTGCCTTATGCAGCAGATTACCAACCCCGATTATCCCCTTGTCGAGAATCCGCTGGGCATGCTCCATTCTGAGGTGAATCGTCGCCGTTTGGGTTCCGCCATAAGCCTTTCGCATCCTAAATGCAGCGCCCGCCAGGATATCGCATTCCTCCTCAGCGTAGAATGCCTGAAGTACCTCCTCGTAGGTGGTCATCTCTTCCAGGTCGGGGATTTCCACTTGCACCGAGTCCTCCAGAACAGCCACTTCGGCTTTTCCGCTGAAGACGGACTTCATGGCTGTATGCAGTTACTGTGATCTTCGCGGGGCATCTTGGTTTTGCGCCTTACCTGCTGCCAGCACGGGTTGAAGCTTTTTCATAGCTTGCAGTGAGTCAAACGTGGCCTAAGTGACATGACGGACGACCTTCTTGTTGTTACTTTCGCGATCATTTCGTCGAGAATCTTACCCATTCATCGGTGAGAGCTGCGGCGTTTTTCTGGACCCGCTGCTTCTTATGGGTTCGATCGATCGCCTCTACAGGGCTGGTTGGTTCCCGACTTCTCTTCGGCGTGGTTAAATCATCCCCATTACTGCTGAAGTTGAAAATGGTTCCGGTTACTTTGGGGGGCGCTGACAAAGGGTGAGCCTCGGAAGTCTGCTCTATCCCCGTAGGAGACCGCGGCACCTTCTGTTGCATCATCTGAAACTTCTTTAGCAACTTTTCCTCAGCCCTGGCAACTGCAAGGGCCTGGGTCTGTCATGTCCGGACCCTTTCTCCTTTTTCATCGCCCACTCTAGTCCCTCGGTGAACCGGGATTTCCCCGGTTTATGCCTGATGAGAGCTATACCGCTCCGGCTCGGTCCCCGGGGCCCCGTTTGAGCTGGCGCCGCTATCGCGGTGGGGTTGGGAATTGGCCGGTATCTTGACTTTTTGCTCATCCACCCCTGAAGGCAATGGCGAAGCTGGTTAAGTTGGGTTTAAAAATTAGAGTTTAGTATATATTATATTTTATTTTAAATATCCCGGGTATCCGATTACGGATAGGTCTTTCGCAGCCGCTGTAAAGCTCAGTTGGGAAAGCTTATTGTTAAGCTCACTGTTAAGGTACACTGCGATCAGCTGACCGCTGTTGTTTGGTTGTGCCGAGCAAAACGCGCGTGAGCGGCTTGTGGAAGCCAAAAGAAAGAATAGTCAAAAATATGTGGCGCTCTGAAATGCAGCGTTGCTGTGCGGATGCGGAAGAGAGAGGATCCAAACTTTTGTCCACCAGGCTTGGCCGCCCGTTGCAAGAATAGCAGTGTGGTGTGTTGGCTGGATAGAACCTTCCTGTCGCGTCTGTGGCACGTACCTGCAACCTGAGGTGTCCCACACTAAACAAATCACACTTTTAGTTATTTTAAACCTTTACGCCGGTCGAAATTTGTGTCTGATTGGAGAGCAGGTGTGTGCGAGGCTAACAATGACGGTATGTCATGGGTGTGTGAGTAGAACTAGAGAACAATCAGGCTAAATTCCTCCCATAACAAAAATCAAAATTCAAATTTAAAAAAAACCTTCTAGGATCATATATTTAAAAGTCTAAACTTTTAAAATATGCAAAAAAAAAATCAAATATCTAGACCAGAATACCTCCTTAAGCACGCATTGTCGGTCCGAAATTATCTGTCCTGCCTTAATGAAAGTTCTTTCTAAGGTACAGGAGGATGCTGGGACGCATATGTATTCCTTTGGACAAAAAAGGAACGATAGTGAGAAAAAACAATCGAATTTCTCGATGGCTTGGGACAATCGATACTAGCGATGTTTTCATCGATTGTTCTCCAGTTTTAACTCAGAGTTACCAGCTCCCTAAAATCTTTATGTAGGGCAATGGCACCCGCACTTAAGGTAGAAAAAAAATATCTCTTGTTGTTAAACAACAAAAATACAAGTGCTTTAAAAGTATATACAAACACAAAACCGACTAAAATAATCTGAATCTTGAATCTAAAATAAAAACAACAGACCAAACTGGCGAAAATAAATTCTATGTCACGTCAATAAAAAGGGGCCAAGTATTCGACACCGGAATCGAGTCAACAGTCCCTTTGATGTTAAAATGGCTATGAACATAAAAATCAATAAAAATAAAATTTCCCAACCAATGCTCAAGGTGGAGTTGATGACTGAAAAAACAACTTTAAAAAAATTGAAGTTAGCCCAATCTACAAGCTGCAATATTTACTGTACCGTAGAATTACAGTTAAGGAAACCTACAAACTGAATGTACCCGTCCAATGCATGAATTGCCAGGATTGCACTCTGCGCACAGTCTGCGTTGCCTGCAAGGATGCACATCCAACGGAGGCCTGCCCTGCAGATAAAGCAGACCATTCTGCCAAAAAATGTACCAACTGTGGAGGAAACCACACTGCCAACTATAGAGGCTGTCCAGTCTATAAAGAGTTAAAAGCTTGCCTCCCAATAAATAACTGCATCTCGTAACCCAGTCGCCCGACAAAAATTTCCGTATATACCACCAACCACGACCCCGGCAGTTTCTTTTGCCCAGGCGTTATGCTCAATAACGGTCATAAGCCTCAACCTCTAAGCCAGATATTACTGCTTATTTGCCTAGTGAATCAATGCTGGAAACTATAACAAACATAATGGTAGCAATACAGCAACGCTACAGGAGCTTATGCGCACTCAAAATCTGCTCCTGGAGCTCTTAATCAAACAAAAATCAGTTTAGATGGTTTCTCTAAAATTATTTTTCTGGAATGCAAATGTCATTTCACAGCACAAACATGAGCTTTTGGAATTCCTAAATCAACACGACATTGACGCCATACTCATATCAATGACTCACCTAACGAACAAAAACTATTTTCACCTAAACGGCTATACAATTTATGCGACAAACCACCCCGATTGTAAGGCCCATGGAGGTACTGGTATTCTGATCAAGAATTGAATAAGGCATTACCAATTGCCGTCGTTTGCTATCGCCTATACTCAAGCAACCAACCACTATACATATCGGCACTCGAAGCGGTTATATAACCATAGCCGATGTATAGGCGCTCCATCTCCGAAGCAGAATTTTTTAAATTCTTTGACCTATAAGGTGACCGCTATATAGCAGCTGTTGTCAATAATGCATAGCGCACGCACTGGGGATCTCGACTCATCAACCTCAAGGGAAGACAACTTTACAACGCTATAATAACATTACGAAACAAGCTAGACTTTATCTCGCCAGTTATCCTAAACAAAAGCCAGACTTGATGGGTTTTGCTGTTACAAGAAGAGTGCGAAAGACTCACATTCGCGCGGAACACTTAAAAAATCTATCGGCGGATCAATTGCTGATTTTACTTCCTGTCAGAGCGGCCACACTTTTAAACTTCTAGTAAAACAGACGGCTTAAAGGCAAAAAGTATGTTAGTATCTATATTGATTTCTACCCAATCGTTTCTTGTAAAGAAGACATTGACAGCTTACTATATGCGTTAGGGTCTGTTATGTCACTGACTGCAAAACACCCCACTCTAATTATAACTGTTAATAAGACTTCCAATAGCAGTCGTGATTCTTGGCATATTGAAGAGCTGCTACGCAATAAAGGAAGGCTTCGGCCAGAGTTGCAGTCCCATAGATCACCTGCGTCGAAGGAGATATTAAAAATAGTCAATAACCTACTACGAAAA